AAGAAACATAAAAGAAAAATAATAATAAAAGAAAAGAAAATAATATAAACAATATGCACGCTCTATGGCCTTATGCTTCTAATTTGGTTACATTAGCTCATAGTAATTAATTAGTGGCATCTTGGCGGCGTGGCACATCGTCAGGGATCAGAATCACACCATACATGCGTCTGACAAATGTCTGGGAGTGTGTCTTAGACTTGCAGATCGTCAGGGGTGGATCAGATACCTTCCGGGGTGTCCAGGTCGCTAGGCGCAGTATGGGTTCCATGGCGCAGTCACAGGTCAAGATTGTTACATTCTCTCCTCCTTAGAATTCGACGTCCTTGTCGACTCAAATTCTTGGAGTTTCTCTTGAGCGTTGGTGAGATTTTTTGGGGGTTCCCAGGTGGCATCATGTAGTAGGTATCTGGTCCATTTGACGATATATTGGAGCTTGTTTCGGACAACTCGTTTGTCCAGAATGGTTTCCACTTTGTATTCTTCTGTTCCGGTCTCAGGGATATGGGTTGCTGGTAGTGGTATTGGTCTTTCAAATTCCTCTGGTGATGGCTTGTATGGTTTGAGCAGAGAGACATGGAACATTGGGTGAATCTTCAGTGTGGCTGGTAGTTTCAACTTGTACGCAGTTTCTAAGATTACTTTGGCGATGATGTATGGTCCAATAAATCTTGGTGTCAACTTCTTCATGGGGCGGTTCTGATCTATTGGACTGTTGAAATTACGCAGCGAGAGTAACACTTGATCTCCTTCCTTGAATATGAGGTGGCGTCGATGCTGATTGGCATACTTTACTTGGCGATCTTGTGCTTCCATCAGGGTGTCTTTGGCAATCTTGATCATGGTGTTCCAATGGTACATGAAGTCATCTGCTGTTGGTGCAGATGTTAGTGTCACAAGGATCAGAGGTGTCTTTGGATGTTGTCCACAATCTAACTCGAATGGTGTAAATCCTGTTGATGCTTGCTTGGCATTATTGTATACAAACTCGGTGGCAGGTATGTACTCGTCCCATTGGTCTTGCTTGTAGGTGGTGTATATGCACAGCATTTCTTCCAGGGTCCTGTTGAGGTGTTCTGTTTGTTCGTCAGTTTGGGGGTGGAATGCTGTTGATATGACAGTCTTTGTACCTAGTTGTTGAAACAGGGCCTGCCAAAAGTGGCTAGTAAATCTTGCGTCTCGGTCTGACATGATGGCTCTTGGTAATCCATGGTGCTTGAAAATTTCCGCGAAGAAGATCTTGGCGACTTCTGGAGCAGTGGCAGTAGTGTACATTGAACAGAAATGGGCTCTCTTTGTCAGGCGGTTCACAAACACAACTATGGCATCATGTCCTTTCTTGGTTAGGGGTAGTTGCACGATGAAGTCCATGGTGACTTCTTCCCATCTTTTGGTCAGCATTGGTAATGGTTGGAGTAGTCCGGCAGGCTTCTGGTTGCTTGGTTTGTTTTGCTGGCACAGGTCACATGTTAGTACATATTTTCGTATATTCTTGCCCATCTTGGGCCAGTAGTATGTTCTCATTATGGCATCCAGGGTCTTGTCAATTCCCGGGTACCCAGCGATGTCTATATCATGGTGTTCCCTAAGAATGTGGCTTCTCAACGTCTTGTACTTGGGGATGGCTAGGCGATGGTCTTTCTTCAAGTAGATACGGTTGTCTGCTAGTTCATAGTACTTGGCACAGGCTCGTTGTTTCTCAGTGGCTTGGTCTGGGGTTTCCAGGGTGGCTTGTATTGGAGCAAAATATTCATCATTGGTATATCCTTCCTCAAAGGCTTGGTCATCTGCTAGTTTGGTACTCAACACAGTTATAGTGGCCAGATGTGGCTGTCTTGAAAGTGCGTCGGCAACAACATTAGTTTTTCCTGGGTGATATCTTACTTCAAAATCATTGGCTTGGAGGGTTTCTAACCATCTTGCTTGTTGTCTGGAGAGATTGGTTTGGGTTTTAATATATTCTAGGAAAGCGTGATCAGTAACAACTGTGAATTTTTGTCCTTCCAAGTACATGTGCCAGATTCTAATAGCATGTACTATGGCCTGAAGTTTTTTTTCATGTACAGGGTAGTTCAATTCAGCTGGGAAAAGTTTTCTCGAGTCGTAGGCAACTGGTTGTTCTCCTCATCCTTGGTCTTGAGTCAGCACTGCTCCAATGGCAAAGTCAGAGGTGTTGGTGGTGACTGTAAAGGGTTTGGTAGGGTCGGGTAGCAACAAAACCAGGGCCGTAGTAAGGGCTTTTTTTAGTTTCTCAAATGTTTCTTGTTCCGGGACATTCCAGGAAAATTCTTGGTCCTTGTGCAGGAGATTGGTAAGAGAGTTGGCAATAGTGAAAAATCCTTGTATGAACTTCTGGTAGTAGCTGGCTAGTCCTAAAAAGGATTGGGTTTCAGTCACATTGGTAGATGTTGACCAATCTTTGATGGTAGAAATCTTTCATGGGTCCACGGTTATCCCTTCCGCGGAGATGTAGTGTCCAGTATACTTGACTTTTGGGCACATTAACTCGCACTTTTTGGCTTTGACATACAGGTGATGTTTTCGGAGGGTGGTCAGAATGGTTTGCAAGTGTCGCAGATGATCTTCTTTGGTTTTACTGTATATGAGGATTTTATCCAAGTACACAATAACAAAGTCGTCCAAGTATTCTCGAAAGATATCATTCATCAATGTCATGAAGGTGGCCGGGGCATTGGTCAGTCCAAAAGGCAATACAAGAAACTCGTAATGGCCATATCTGGTTCAGAAGCTGTTTTGGAAATGTCTTCTTCCTTGATACGGATTTGGTGGTATCTAGAGTACAGGTCGATCTTACTGAAGTATTTGGCTCCAGCCAATCGATCCATTAGCTCTTCTATCTGGGGCAGGAGATATTAGTTCTTGATGGCCACCTTGTTCAGGATACGATAATTAACACAGAGTCTCAATGTTCCTTCCTTTTTGTGGACGAACAACACAGGGGCATCAAATGGAGAGATGCTGGGTCGAATAAATCCTTTGGCCATTAGTTCGGCAAGTTGCTTCTTTAATTCATCCATTTCCACATAGAAGAGGTGATAAGTGGGTCTTGAGGGTGGTTCTGTTCCAGGTACCAAGTCTATAGCATGGTCAATCTTTCGTTTGGGTGGCAATTGATTGGGCAACTCCATGGGGAAGACATCAGCAAACTCTTTCAATATAGCAATTTTTTCGGGGGAGGGTTTTACTTCTTTTGGAGAGGCTTCCTCAGGGGTGGTGCATATAATAAACATTTTTTCGTTGGCAGGTGTTCTTGCAAGCTGGTGTCTGAAAATAAGGAGAGAGTGGCATTCAAGTTTCGCTGGGATCCGGAAGGTGCTGGCAGAGACTTTGATGTTGCACGGTCCATCATTGAGGGAGAGTGTATTGGTTCTCCAGTTAATGTGGGGGTTAACTTGGTATAACCATGGTTTTCCCAAGATGGCATCGTATCTTTGCAGTTTCAGGATTTGGGCAGAAAACTCGGAGGTGCAGTACTTTTCTAGTTCCAGGGTCTTGACTTTTACTTCGATGGTAATTTCTTTTCTTCGACCATCGGCAAGTTCCACAGAGAATGGTTGTGTAGGTTTCTTTGGCAGTCTGTTTCTGCCTTAAGATTTCTCTTAGAATCCCAATGTTCAAGAGAGAAGCCAGAGAAAATGTGCACATATGGCTGTGCCAGACAAAGAATATTCTACATGCCCAAGAAGTTACTAATAAGGGACAAATGATACATTATGCCACAACAGGATTTGAAGAGGCTGCACTCCACTGGTTCGTTAATAAGGTTAAGGATACCACCACCACTGCCTTTACCGACTAGGCCCAATTCAAGAAAGAGCTCTTAGATGCTTTTCAACCCCCATACTATCAACAGCACTTGCGTCGCCAGCTCAAGAACCTGCAACAAACAGGAACCGTGCAAGAATATGCTTCCCAATTTAGAAACTTGGTAAGTCAAATTGACGATATGCACCAATTAGACCGTGTTGTCTATTTTATAGAAGGTTTGAAGCCTGCGACAAAAATGGAAGTGAACTACAAATCACTGGAGATCCTTGATGAAGCTATCCACATTGCAATTCGCTATGATACTGTCATGTTTAGACTAGGCCATCCAATGATGAATCGTACCTTTCAAAGGACAAACCAATCTCCGCGAAACTACTAAGGACCAGCACCTATGGAATTAGACCGTACTGAGATGTACAAGAAGCCAGCCACCACACAGAAGAAGCCAGTAAAATGTTACAACTGTGGAAAGATGGGCCACTATGCCTGAGACTGCCAATCAAAGAAACCCGAAAAAGACTCCAAAGCAAAAGTAACTGTCATTGAAGAGCAATCCACCACCTTGGATGCAGAATTTATTCATATTGAAGAAAACCAAGAACAGTTGCTCCGATTCAATGGTAAGATTAATGAATGCCCTGCATGGATCCTGTTGAATTCTGGTGCCTCCAAAAATTTTGTGGATACAAAGTTTGCTGATAGAAACAGACTGCCAAAAAAACCCACACCACCATTCTTTATGGAACTAGCTGATAGACGAAGAAAGGAAGTTATCATTGAAGTGGAAGTCAAGACCTTGGAACTAGGAAAGCACTGCACCTCCGAGTTTTTTGCCCAAATCCTGGAACTGCAAAGATACAATGCCATCTTGGGAAAATCATGATTATACCAAGTTAACCCCACATTAACTGGAGAACCAATACACTCTCCTTCAATGATGGACCGCGCAACATCAAAGTCTCTGCCAGCACCTTCCGGATCCCAGCGAAACCCGAATACCACTCTCTCCTTATTTCCAGACACCAGCTTGCGAGAACACCTGCCAATGAAGAAATGTTTGTTATATGCGCCACTCCTGAGAAAGCCTCTCCAAAAGAAGTAAAGCCATCTCCTGAAGAAATTGCTATATTGAAAGAGTTTGCTGACATCTTCCCCACGGAGCTGTCCAATCAATTGCCACCCAAATGAAAGATTGACCATGCCATAGACTTGGTACCTGGAGCAGAACCACTCTCAAGACTCACCTATTACCTCTCCTATGTGGAAATGGATGAATTAAAGAAGCAACTTGCTAAACTAATGGCCAAAGGATTTATTCGACCCAGCATCTCTCCATTTGGTGCTCCTGTATTGTTCATCCACAAAAAGGAAGGAACATTGAGACTCTGTGTTGATTATCGTGCCCTGAACAAGGTGACCATCAAGAACCAATATCTCCTGCCCCAGATAGAAGAGCTAATGGATCGATTGGCTGGAGCCAAATACTTCAGTAAGATCGACCTGTACTCCGGATACCACCAAATCCATATCAAGGAAGAAGACATTCCCAAAACAGCTTTCCGAACCAGATATGGCCATTACGAGTTTTTTGTATTGCCTTTTGGACTGACCAATGCCCCTGCCACCTTTATGACATTGATGAATAATATCTTCTGAGAATACTTGGACGACTTTGTTATTGTGTACTTGGATGACATCCTCATATACAGTAAAACCAAAGAAGATCATCTGCAACACTTGCGAACCATTCTGACCACCCTCCGAAAACATCACCTGTATGCCAAAGCCAAAAAGTGCAAGTTAATGCACCCAAAAGTCGAGTATACCAGACACTACATCTCCGCAGAAGGGATAACCGTGGACCCACGAAAGATTTCTACTATTAAAGATTGGCCAACACCTACCAATGTGACTGAAACCCGATTTTTTTTAGGACTAGCCAGCTACTACCAGAAGTTTGTACAAGGATTTTCCACCATTGCCAGCTCTCTTACCAATCTCCTGCACAAGGATTGAGAATTTTCCTGGAATGCTCCGGAACAAGAAGCATTTGAGAAACTAAAAGAAGCCCTTACCATGGCCCCGGTTTTGTTGCTACCCGACCCCACCAAACCCTTTACAGTCACCACTGATGCCTCTGACTTTGTCATCGGAGCAGTGCTAACTCAAGACCAAGGACGAGGAGAACAACCAGTTGCCTACGACTCGAGGAAACATTCCCCAGCGGAATTGAACTACCCTATACACGAAAAAGAACTTCTGGCCATAGTACATGCTATTAAAACCTGGCGCATGTACTTGGAAGGACAAAAATTCACAGTTGTTACCGATCACGCTTCCCTAGAATATATTAAAACTCAAACCAATCTCTTCAGACGACAAGCAAGATGGTTAGAAACCCTCCAAGCCAATGATTTTGAAGTAAAATATCACCCAGGAAAAACTAATGTTGTTGCCGACGCACTTTCAAGACAGTCACATCTGGCCACTATAATTGTGTTAAGTACCAAACTAGCAGATGATCAAGCCTTTGAGGAAGGATATACCAATGATAAATATTTTGCTTCAATACGAGCCACCCTGAAAACCCCAGACCAAGCCACTGAGAAACAACGAGCCCGTGCCAAGTACTATGAACTAGCAGACAACCGTATCTACTTGAAGAAAGATCATCGCCTAGCCATCCCCAAGGACAAGACGTTGAGAAGCTACATTCTTAGGGAACACCATGATATAGACATTGCCGGGCACCCAGGAATTGACAAGACCCTGGATGCTATAATGAGAATATACTACTGGCCCAAGATGGGCAAGGACATACGAAAATATATATTAACATGTAACCTATGCCAGCAGAACAAACCAAGCAACCAGAAGCCTGCCAGACTACTTCAACCACTACCAACGCCGATCAAAAGATGGGAAGAAGTCACTATGGACTTCATTGTGCAACTACCTCTAACCAAGAAAGGATATGATGCCATAGTTGTGTTTGTAGACCGCCTGACAAAGAGAGCCCATTTCTGTCCAATGCATACTACTGCTACTGCCCCGGAGGTTGCCAAGATCTTCTTCTCTGAAATCTTCAAGCACCATGGATTACCAAGAGCCATCATGTCAAACTGAGATGCAAGATTTACCAGCCACTTCTGGCAAGCCCTGTTTCAACAACTGGGTACAAAGACTGCCATGTCAACAGCATTCCACCCCCAAACTGACGGACAAACAGAACATCTCAACAGAATCCTAGAAGAAATGCTACGCATATACACCACCTACAAGCAAGACCAATGGGACAAGTACTTACCTGCCGCCGAGTTCGCATACAACAATGCCAAGCAAGCATCAACAGGATTTACACCATTCGAGTTAGATTGTGGACAACATCCAAAGACACCTCTGACCCTTGTGACATCAACATCCATACCAATAGCAGATGATTTCATGTACCATTGGAACACCATGATCAAGATTGCCAAAGACACCTTGATGGAAGCACAAGACCGCCAAGTGAAGTATGCCAATCAACATTGACACCATCTCACATTCAAGGAAGGAGATCAAGTGTTACTCTTGCTATATAATTTCAACAGTCCAATAGATCGGAACCGCCCCACAAAAAAGTTAACACCAAGATTTGCCGGACCGTACACCATCACCAAAGTAATTTCAGAAACTGTGTACAAGTTGAAACTGCCGGCCACACTGAAGATCCACTCGATGTTCCATATCTCTTTGCTCAAACCATACAAGCCATCATCAAAGGAATTTGAAAGACCAATACCACTACCAGCAACCCATATCCCTAAGACCGGAACAGAAGAATACGAAGTAGAAACCATTCTAGACAAACGAGTTGTCCGAAACAAGTCCCAATATCTCGTCAAATAGACTGGATACCCACTACATAATGCCACCTGGGAACCTCAAGAAAATCTTACCAACACTCAAGAGAAACTCTAAAAATTTGAGTTGACGAGGATGTCGAATTCTAAAAAGGGGAGAATGTAACAATCTTGACCCATACTGCGCCCAGTGACCCGGACGCCCCCAGAAGGTATCTGATCTGCCCCTGATGACCTGCAAGTCTGAGATATACTCCCAAACATTTGTCAGACACATGTATGGTGCGATTCTGACCCCTGATGATGTGCCACGCCACCAAGACGCCACTAATTAATTACTATGAGTTAATGTAACCAAATTAGGAGCATAAGGCCATAGAGCATGCATATTGTTTATATTATTTTCTTTTTATTTCCTTTTATATTTCTTTATGTTAATTAAGTATATATGTCTCTGGAGGTTAAGCCTTATATAGATATATGTATTTTTATATTTATTTATTTATATATTTTTACATTGTATGAAGCCAACATGTATAAAAGAATGCCCTTTTGACCTTAATAAAATTCCAACTCTGTTGGCATTAAAATAATAATTGCTCAAGTTCACTGTCTTTTTAAAGTCACTAACAATTTTATTAAAACTTTTACAATTTCAATGCACTATAGCCAATACCTTTTCTTTTATCAGTATTAAATAAAACAAAAAAATATCAAAAACTTTAATAAAAAAAATATTAAAAATATTATTAGATTAAAATTATATAAAAACTTATATTTATTATTAGATTAAAATTATATAAAAACTTATATTTATTATAATACAATATTTAATTAATATTGACTTATTAACTATAGTAATAAATTATTGTATCTAAAAACAAAACTCTTTCCTGAAATTGGATTCTATACACTAAAAATCAGCCAAAAATCTCAAAATTCAAATTTGTTCAACAGAATGTCCATTTCATCTCGACAACATAGAAAACTCTATCGGTTTCCTATTTACCAATATACAATCACAACTTAAAAAGACAACAATCAATATAACCAACACTCTTAACATAAAGTTTATTAATCAATTACTAAAATATAATAATACTACCAAATTTTTCTGGCTACAACTTGCTATACATACAGAAATAATTTGCCTGGATCCAGAGCCCAACTGGTTTAAAACATTTGT